TTGTTGAGGTGGTTCGGACATGTAGAGAGAATGGAGCGAAACAGAATGACTTCAAGAGTATATCAGTCTGTAGTGGAAGGAAGGCGGGGTAGGGGTCGGCCTAGGAAGGGTTGGAGGGAGGGGGTAAAGGAGGTTTTGTGTGCGAGGGGCTTGGACTTCCAGCAGGCATGCGTGAGCGTGTTTGATAGGAGTGAATGGAGACAAATGGTTTTTAATACTTGACGTGCTGTTGGAGTGTGAGCAAAGTAACATTTATGAAGGGATTCAGGGAAACCGGCAGGCCGGACTTGAGTCCTGGAGATGGGAAGTACAGTGCCTGCACTCTGAAGGAGGGGTGTTAATGTTGCAGTTTAAAAACTGTAGTGTAAAGCACCCTTCTGGCAAGACAGTGATGGAGTGAATGATGGTGAAAGTTTTTCTTTTTCGGGCCACCCTGCCTTGGTGGGAATCGGCCGGTGTGATAATAAATAATAATAAAAAATAATAATCACTCTGAGGCACATTAAATGTTGTATACTGCCTCTTCTCAATTAGCGACGTATTTGTTTACCGATGATTCGGACTTATGATGGGCTCTGACCAGTATTACAATATACACAGTACACTACTGCATAAACATTTAAAACTATACCAGAAATGTTATAAATGGTGCAAAGGTGACATTAAAACAATACCAAAGATGGTTGACACAAACCCACTACCATTATAGTATGTTCCATCACTTAATGATGAATTTGTTTACCGACAAGGTCTTAGGAATGGAACTCCATCGTTAAGTGAGGAGATGCAGTATTACATTATTATAAACATTTTCAATAATCCATCTATGATAATTTTTTTCAAAATTGCATTATAAACAGTCTACGTATCAAATAAACATGATAAATACACCCCACAGTAGAATAAATTAACATAAATATGAGATGTTACGCATACAAGAACTGCATGAACTGAAACCAGATGCGTTCATCTGCTTGTTTACATATTCCGCATCTCTCTCCTCTCTCATTTACTCATTTTCTCTCATTTGTTTATTTGTTTTACCTTGTTTACTCACCTCTCACCCTACATTAAGACTACAAATATTTTAAGGTAAGTAATGAGCGTACTGTATGTGCATTTTATTGCTCTAGGGCACTTTAAATGTCGTAGTATATTACGAGTGGGTGGGGTGGCCTGGCTGGCTACCATACCTCCCACGCCTGACTTTCTACAAATAAATACTACTCACCTCTCGCCCGACATTAAGACCACAAATATTTTAAGGTAAGTAATGTGTGTACTGTATATGCATTTTATTACTCTGGGGGCACTTTAAATGTCGTAGTATATTACATATGGGTGGGGTGGCCTGGCTGGCTACCATATCTCCCACACCTGACTTCTTACAATAAATACTACTCACCCCTCACCTTGCATTAAGCCTACAATTATTTTGAGGCAAGTAATGAGTGTACTGTGTGTAAATTTTTCTTTTTATTGTTTTTAATGCCTAATTCTATTGCTAACTTAATATATGTTAGCGTAAACTTGTTATCTGGCATTTATATGCATTTATAAGTGGAAAAAATGGTGTTCTGCTTTCTGGTGATGTCCATTTTTCAGTGGTAGCCTGGAACCTAACCTGCCATGTAAATGAGACCCTACTGTATATAAATGGGTGACAGTAGTCTAAAATGAAGCTGTACATTATAGCATTTTTTGTCTAATTTCCTCTCACTTTGTCATTCTGATTTATATTTCCTATGATTTAGGAATCTCTTAATTTCACTTTTGCCCTAGTTGAAGCCTGAATAACTTGCTGATAACAATATTGAACAGTTTATCGCCATGCATTTCTCTTTTTTATACCAAGACATGCAGCTTGCTATTTTGCAGGAAATAAATACATTTCTTTTCTCATGTTAAGATCTTATCTAGCCTAAATTGTATTAGATATGGTAACATTACAGATAGTGCATATTGAGGAAATTGGTATGTATCCTTTTGAATTTTATAAAGAGTTAGGGTGAAGAAACTAACCACTGCCATTTACCATTAACCAAACATCCATTGAATTTTCTTAAAAAGTTTAGACATTTAGCATGCTGATGTATATAGTAGACCATTATATTACGTGATTTTATTTGGTACGTTTTGGTTATTGCATTATTGAAAAATTGCGGCACAATTTTATACAACACTTCGTAAAATTAACTTAACACGGTTCGGTTGTGGGAGGGGAAAAAAATTGGAATGTTGCCTGTGGGATACTTCCCCAACTCAGGCTCTGCCTGGCTGTGGATTAGACCATTGAGTCAACTAGAGAGACCTACCGTCATCTGCCACCCCCGCCACCTCCACCACCCCTGCCACCCCCACCCCCACCCACACCACCCCTGCCACCCCCCACCACCCTGGTCCCAGCCTTAGAAGATGATGATGACGAAGACAGGAGTCCAGAGGAAATGTTGGCAGAGCTCAGTGCACAGATACAAGTGAGCCACATAACAGAAGATGAAGAACCTGAAGAAAAACAGTTAACATCGCAGCAGTTACGTGAGCAGTTCAATGTTACTGATAAACTGCAAACTTTTTCACTGAAGAGGACCCTGACAAATGTAGAAGCAGTGTTTTGAAACTGGGTCTAGACCAGCTAATGATGCCTTTCCATCAGCTGTATAATGTACTGCAGGGTAAATGATCCCAGTAATCCATTACAGAATTTGATGCACACACCAATACAACCATCGACTTTAGTACCAAAACTTCTGTACCATCCACTTCTGCGACAACCAACAACCATCCATCTCAGCCCAGTAAGGCCAAACCATGCATCTCCACTCCCTTCACAATCATCCACAAACACCAGCACCTACAATTTAAGGTAAGAAATACTACTACAGTGGACCCTCGACCAACAATATTAATCCGTTCCTGAGGGCTCATCGTTAGTCAAAATTATCGTAATAATGTTGGTAGAATTACCAACAATATGTAAAGTAAAAGGACACAAGTGCAACTAATGTGACATTTTATTGTGGCACAATAAAATGTCACATTAGTTGCACTTGTGTCCTTTTAGTCAAAATTATCGTTAGTCGAGTTAATTTTCCCCATAAGAAATAATGGAAATCTAATTAATCCGTGCAAGACACCCAAAAGTATGAAAAAAATTTTTTACCACATGAAATATTAAGTTTAATGCAATAGAATAATTACAATAACAATAGATTAATAACAATAGAATAATTGACACTTACCTTTAATGAAGATCTGGTGATGATTGATGGGATGGGGAGAGTGTGGATGGTGTTAGTGTTTATTAGGACTTGAGGTGTCAAGTCCTTGAGGACATTGTTTTTCCTGAACACTCTGGGAGTTTCAGAGTGATCCACCAATAAAGGCTTCACTTTGCAATCACCACTAGCATTAGCACACATCACCACTAGTTGCAGGCATTTTTTTAATTAAATCGTCATGCAACTTCCTAGCCTTTTCACATATGATCGCTTGAGAGATGCTATCTCCTGCTATCTGTTTTTCGTTTATCCACACCAATAACAGTCTCTCAGCATCTTCTATCACTTGTGATCTCAGTTTCGAAAACATAGTTGCACCTTTGGCAAGAACAGCTTCCTTGATTGCCGTTTTTTTGCCCACAATAGTAGCGATGGTTGATTGGGGTTTTGTGTACAACCTGGCCAGCTCGAGACACGCACTCCACTTTCATACTTAGCAATGATCTCTTTCTTCATATCCATATTAATTCTCACCCTTTTTGCTGTAGGGTTGGCACTAGAAGCTTTCTTGGGGCCCATGGTGACTTATTTTGCAGGTGCAATCACTACAAACGCTGTGATAATATGAAATGTTCCGATTGTATGTTTGGATGGGACCGCAGTGGCTGGCTGGCTTGTAAACACTGGCCACAAGTGGATGCGCCTCGGACGAACGAATCGCGTTGGTCGAGTTTTTTAGCGCTAATCGAGGCAAAATTTTTGCGTTAAAATGTATCGCTAGTCGGATTTAACGTTACACGATGCCAGCGTTGGCCAAGAGTCCACTGTATTTCTGTTGCATTTGTAGTCTTAAGCACTAAAAACATAATACTATATCATGACAGTGAAATACAGTTACATATTCACTTTCATTTTTGTAAAATCTGTTGGTCTAAAACAAAGTTGTTTGGCTTTTTGGTGAGCTCATAGGAACAAAACCCTATTTTTCCCATAAGGTCTTCAGTTTATCTAAACGGTTTTAACTAACATGGCGTTTTTCAGGAACGTAACTACCATGTAATATAAAGGTCTTCTGTATATGGCAGCTTACTGTCGTCATTATTATACTCACAAGAAAACACTAAACTTCATGACAAGTGTTACTTATATGATCGACTATTTGTCGAGCCTTAATCAACTTTTGTATTATACTTTACGTATCGATAAGCCAACTTTGGGTTAAATATTTTCCTTTCTGAAACTTCAGTTCCCCTCTTCTCAAGAATTGTAACACCCCTATTTACTGCTGCCCCTGCAGTGTTTTGAACTCTTAAAATCAGTTCTGAATAATAAATGAGTTATGTCTGTTTGCAAAAAACTTAATACAGTACTGTATATTATAAAACTGTATGTTCCTTTAATAAAATGAATAATTTTGAAGCATGTTATGCTGATTAAAAGTTAATACTACAGTACCTGCCTTATTTCTTATTTTGATTTATGCATCACATAATTGCATAATTTATGGTTTGCAAGATTTACTTGTTAAATAAAGTTCAGTGTTTCTCCCAAATTATTGTCTTACATTTAATTAATATACAGATTTCTTTAACCAAAAGATGAATGTGTATACTGTGATGGGCCAGTTTTATTAGTAGATGTATCATTCAGAGACATTAATTATTTTCTTCTTCTGAATCATTCTAAAATATATGTATGTACTGCTTTATAACTTATTTAGTTACTGAAACTCATAGATTCATTACAATTGCAGAGCACATTACCCACACTTGTCCACAGGTTGATGGAGGTATGGCCATGGCACCTGCCAGACCAGGCACCCCAGGCTCCCCAGGAGAGAAGGGTGAGCCTGGAGCAGCGGGTATAAGGGGACCCCGTGGATACCCTGGATCTAAAGGAGAGAAGGGCAGCCCTGGCAGTGATGGGGATAAGGGAGAAAGGGTGAGCCTATGTTCCTTTTGCCTACAATGTTGTGGTGCTTTTTTGTTATTTTTCTCTTTCTCCTGCTTATTTCACAATATAATATTCATGTGGGAGCACTAAACCCATAGGTGTCATGCTATTATTGTATTTAGTGGAAGCACTAAACCCATAGGGTCATACAGTGCCTGGGAAATGGGAAATAATCAGGTGTGTGATTCAAGGAATGGGTGTGTAGCTCCAGCTCCTTGGAGCCACCCTTGAAGGGTGGAGAAAAGTTATTTTTGTATGAAATTTTACTTTATGAAACTTCATTGCATTTTGTATGGTCATATTGTGCAATATTTAGTTAAAAACACAACTATTTTAAGACAGGAGATGTAGCACACTTCATTTACAAATTAAATGAAAATAATCTTTTTATTAGCCTACTTATTAGCTGTTTTGTCAATATAGCATTCAAACCCCTATTGTGTTAGTGCTGAAAGGAGATTATTGTTATTATATTAATCTGGAAGCATTAAATTCTTATTGGTCATATAATGCTTTGGGGACTGGAGACATCAAGTTTGATTCAGTAAAGGGAGGGGGCTCCACTTCCTTACATCAAGAACTTTTCATCAGCATCAGGGCCACCTCCCCCTTCTGGTAGAGTGTCAAAAGGACTGTGCGGTTTCCAGTTATTTCGAAGTACTACTGCATCTGTAGCCCAGCGTTTGTCCTGTTGAAACAGTCATTTGTCTTTAATGATACTGTCCTATCTTGTTCCACAGGTTTACATGTTTTAAATATTTCAGTAAAAAAATTTCAGTATTCCTATTGTTATTAGTGTTTCTATTAATTTTTTAATTCATTAGCCATCTCTCACCAAGGTATAATGACTCATGAAACAGGAAACACATTAACCATCATTTGGTCACTCTCCATTTTGCCAGAAGTGTGCTGATATCATAGTTCACATGACCCTTCGAACTACGGCATCCTTACCCCCTTCTTTATTTCAAATACATGTACCATATCAAATATTTTCTTATTATGTCTCAATTACTACTGCTTATGACTCAGTCACATTCTGTACCTCTAGCCTCATTCTTTCATCCCATTGTGGAAAGTAAAGAAAATTTCCATTACAATGAATATTGCAAATACACCTACCATCCGACTTACGACCGAGTTCCGTTCCAAGAAACGGTCGTAAGTCGAACTTTACTACTGAATATCAACAAAACATTTTTGTAATGACTTTATTTTGTTTTATTTTGGTATTTCATGTTTTACTTTACTTTTTATGCTGTTAGTACTGTATTTTATACTGTAAGGTTTAGGATAAACACTGTGTACAACAAAAATAGTTGTTTATTTCCCAGAAATTTGGCATAAAAAACACGGTCGTAAGTCGAGTGGTCGTAAGTCGAGCAGGTCGTAAGTCGGATGGTAGGTGTATATTAACAGTATGTATTTTTGATTTCCCACCTTCAGGGAGCTGTTGGGAAGCGAGGTGTGATGGGTCCCAAGGGTGAACCAGGCACCCCAGGCATAAATGGTGCCCCAGGGCCCCCAGGGCTTACATCTGATCCAGGAGCCAAGGGTGAGAAAGGTGAGTTGTGAGGGTGGATGGGTGAATATTAAATGTACATTTGCTTGCCAGTATAAAAATACAGTAGATGTATTTGATGACTTTTTTGTCAAAATTTTGTCCCAGTTTTCGTTTATCACCTCGGTTTTCATTGAGTTGACAATGGTCCTCTGTACCGAATGTGTCCACCTGCCAATGCCCACACAAAGCATCCCATGTGTTTGAGTCAGTCTGGCTTTGTTTCTCATTGAGTGAGCATTACCTTGCGCGTTCATCCGAAACATTTCTTAAGAATCCATTTTTTTTTGTGCTTGTTTATTGAGTGCAACTGCTAAATAAACCACCATGGGGCCAAAGAAAGTTTCGAGTGCCAGCCCTTTCAAAAAGAAGGCGAGAAACACGATAAAAGTCAAGAAGGAACTTGTAGCAAAGTACGAAAGTGGAATGAGTTGCAAAGTTTTGTGGGGGAAATATCACTACCATCCTCTACCTTTGTAGAGGGTGGTAGTGATGGTGGTAGAGGGTGGTAGTGATGATGGTAGAGGGTGGTAGTGATGGTGGTAGAGGGTGGCAGTGGTTGTGATGGTGGTAGAGGGTGGTAATGATCTTTGCCATATTCCATATGCCAACAAGTCTTCAATAAAGGTAAAAGTGATGTTAAATGTTCATTTGTCCATTTCATTAGTCCTTTATATTTATTTCTCATTGTTTTCTGTATGTAAAACTATAGTTATTCTCTATAAAATATATTTTTTTGTTAATACTTTTGGGTGTGTGGAACAGATTAATTGGATTTACATTATTTCTTATAGGAAATATTGCTTCAGTTTTCATTGAATTCTGTTTTCATCAGACTTTCTGGAACGAATTAATGACAAAAACCAAGGTTCCACTGTACTTTCACTTCAATATGGGTTTGTGTCCAAATGAAGAACTTTTTGACAAGTATGAAGAAACCTGGAGTTTACCTGGAGAGAGTTCCAGGGGTCAACGCCCCCGCGGCCTGGTCTGTGACCAGGCCTCCTGGTGGATCAGAGCCTGATCAACCAGGCTGTTGCTGCTGGCTGCACGCAAACCAACGTACGAGCCACAGCCCGGCTGGTCAGGAACCGACTTTAGGTGCTTGTCCAGTGCCAGCTTGAAGACTGCCAGGGGTCTGTTGGTAATCCCCCTTATGTATGCTGGGAGGCAGTTGAACAGTCTCAGGCCCCTGACACTTATTGTATGGTCTCTTAACGTGCTAGTGACACCCCTGCTTTTCATTGGGGGGGGATGTTGCATCGTCTGCCAAGTCTTTTGCTTTCGTAGCGAGTGATTTTCGTGTGCAAGTTCGGTACTAGTCCCTCTAGGATTTTCCAGGTGTATATAATCATGTATCTCTCCCTCCTGCGTTCCAGGGAATACAGTTTTAGGAACCTCAAGCGCTCCCAGTAATTGAGGTGTTTTATCTCCGTTATGCGTGCCGTGAAGGTTCTCTGTACATTTTCTAGGTCAGCAATTTCACCTGCCTTGAAAGGTGCTGTTAGTGTGCAGCAATATTCCAGCCTAGATAGAACAAGTGACCTGAAGAGTGTCATCATGGGCTTGGCCTCCCTAGTTTTGAAGGTTCTCATTATCCATCCTGTCATTTTTCTAGCAGATGCGATTGATACAATGTTATGGTCCTTGAAGGTGAGATCCTCCGACATGATCACTCCCAGGTCTTTGACGTTGGTGTTTCTCTCTATTTTGTGGCCAGAATTTGTTTTGTACTCTGATGAAGATTTAATTTCCTCATGTTTACCATATCTGAGTACAGTGGACCCCCGCTTAACGATCACCTCCAAATGCGACCAATTATGTAAGTGTATTTATGTAAGTGCATTTGTACGTGTATGTTTGGGGGTCTGAAATGGACTAATCTACTTCACAATATTCCTTATGGGAAAAAATTCGGTCAGTACTGGCACCTGAACATACTACTGGAATGAAAAAAGTTCGTTAACCGGGGGTCCACTGTAATTGAAATTTCTCATCGTTGAACTTCATATTGTTTTCTGCAGCCCACTGAAAGATTTGGTTGATGTCCGCCTGGAGCCTTGCAGTGTCTGCAATGGAAGACACGGTGTTGTGGCTGACATCCTTGTCTATGTCGGATATGAGGATGACACATTGCTGAAATAGGTTTTGCTGGGTCAATAAAACTTCAGAAAGCAATATGTTTTCCCAGTAAAAGTTTATTTTCAATATTTTTTTTCTTTACTGTGTCATCTCTGTCAAATTTCTTCCTCTAATTTTATATACGCTGTTGCTCTCAGTGCATTCATATCAAGAGAGAGAGAGAGAGATAATTTTCAGTATACAGGTACCATATATACAGAGTACAAAGTTGGAATACTGGACCAATTGCAAAGAGTAAGTACAGTGGTCCCTTGAGTTATAATAATTTTGAGTTATGATTGACCTTTATTAAGGAATTTAGTTTTGAGTTGTAATTAAAAAATTGAGATACGATATGTGTACAATGGTTGGTGCACATTGGTGGGCCTCAGCTAACCAGTGATGCCGTAGCCTGCCTCTTGGGCAGTGTCTGAGCCAATAGGAGCATTGGTGGTAGTGGTGGCTTAACAGCCAATCAGCAATAGGAACAAATGGCCCCTCTCCACCCTCCCCTACCACTACACCAACTCTTCAAGTCCAAGGTACAGTAAAAATTGCATCGCCTGATATTGGAAGGAATTACCATAAAACCATGTATTTTGGGGTTTGAGTTACAATAGTTTTGAGGCACGATACTTCTGGAATGGATTAATATTGTAACTTAAGGGACCACTATTAGTAGAGTCTTTAAAATATAAATATATTCAGCATTAACTATGGCCATAGGAATTGGTCATATGGTGGAGTTGCAGTATCATACTGCATTATTTGATTTATTTATATTTAAAGCATATTTTATGTGCAATAATATGCTTTCACAGACTTCACTAGAACTGAAGCTTATGTATGGTTTTGTTGTGTCTGCAGGTGAGCGTGGGGAACCTGGGATGGGCCTTCCTGGTCCTCCTGGTCCTCCAGGAGGACTCTCAGAGAAGGACCGCAAAATCATCTTGGAACAGGTAAATGATAACCAGCTTCTTAGTATAGCAGCAGAACTATGCTCATGATGTCCCATCTGTATACAGCATTTAAACTGGATCCCATTCAATCATACTGCCACTCTGCTAGTTAGGAAATATTTTGCAGCATCTTCTCTGCACTTCTTTTTTATTACGTAGTTTGTTATTGTGGCCTATTACTCTCCCTTTAGATGGTGCTAAGAAATATTCCTTGTCTAATTTCAAATATACTTTTATGTGTCTCTTTTTCCAGCCTGTCTGACAACAAATGCATTTTCAGTGTCCTCGCTTTTTATTTGAAGTTAAATTTTTATTTTATCTCTACTGTGCTGTTTTTAACCCCTTAACCCTTTGAGGGTTTCGGCCGTACTAGTACGGCTTACGACCCAGGGTTTTTGACGTACTAGTACGCCTAAATTCTAGCGCCCTCAAATCAGTGGGAGAAAGCTGGTAGGCCTTCGTATGAAAGAATGGGTCTATGTGGTCAGTGTGCACAGTCTAAAAAAAATCCTGCAGCACACAGTGCATAATGAGAAAAAAAAAACTTTGACTGTTTTTTTGGAATAAAACAGTGACTTTGCATTGTATTTTCATATGGTATTTATTGTTGTATTTTAGTTTTCTTGGTCTCATTTTATAGAATGGAAGACATATTACAGAAATTGAGATGATTTTGACTGGTTTTACAATGAAAAGTACCTTGAAATTGAGCTCAAAGTAGCAGAAATGTTAAATTTTTACCAAAGTTCAAAAGTAAACAAATCATGCCAAGCATCCAATACACGTCAACTGGTGAGTCTAATATTCTTTCACAAGTGCGCTAATATTATTTATACCATTTTTTACACTAATGCAGTAGTCTGCATAACAGTAAATCTTCTATTTTTTGTGAGAATAAAAATTCAAAGTGGAAAGCAAAAGAATATAAGAGGGGCCTTGAGACGTGACTAATGAACAGAGGAAATGTCATTTTAGTGCCAGGAATGTCTTTCTTGTTTATTCTGGACCCTATTCGGAAATTGGCATCTTTTGAAATTTGTGTGAAATTGGCAAAATTGCTAAATTCTGACCACTGTACTGGATAGTTGAAATTGGTAAATGGGTGGTTTCTTGCACTCATTCGATAGAAAAAATGGAGTTCTAGCGAAATACTCATGTTTTTTGTCGACTAGTACAGTGGAATTGGCTGAAAATGGGACTCAAAATGGGCAAAATTGCCGATGCGTAAACATTGCCGAGACCACTAACTTCGCGAGAGCATAATTCCGTAAGTTTTCCGTCAAATTTCATACTTTTGGTGTCATTATGATCGGGAAAAGATTCTCTATCTTTTCATAAGAATTTTTTTTTTTTTTTTTTTTTTTAATTTGGCCGACCCTGAGAACGAGTCTCGGAGAGGGTCTGTCAACCCTCAAAGGGTTAAGGGTCCAAGGCCAAAATCTGAAGTGGTGCTCCAGTGCCTTAAGAAATTTTGAAAAAAAAAAAAAAATTATTTTTTCTTACAGAATTAAAGAGTATATTTTTGTGAAGGTAATAAGACAAAAAAACAAAAATTTCTGATCAGTACTTACCGAGATATAGCAGCGGGAAGTTGACCCAAAATGACCGGGTGGCGGCAACATCAGTGACTTCCGCAAAATCCCATTTTTTTATTTTACGTTTTTTATGCTTTTTTCTTTTCTTTTCTATTTTTTCTTTTTCTAATAACATTTGTGGCCTGTGAGACCAGTATAATGTACTATATTGTATTAGTGTACACTCATTGTATTCCACGCAATAACTGCACTAATTTGTTTATCATTATATTGCTTACAAAACTTGTTTACAAGTTTATTGTAAACAAAATGATGAAAATATTAGTGTGGTTATTGTGTTGAATACAACGGTACAATGATGCCATAGGGTGCAATTGTACCATATGGTACAATGGCACCATATGATACAATGGTACCATATGGTACAATATGGCACAATGGCACATGATACAATGGTACCATATGATACAATGGTACTATATGGTACAATGGCACCATTTGGTACAATGGTACCATATGATACAATGGTACCATATGGTGCAATGGTACCTTATGGTACCATATGGTGTAATGGTACCATATGATGCAATGGTACCACATGGTACATTGTACCATACAGTACAATGATACCATATGGTTCATTGTACCATATGGTACTGTTGTATTCAACACAATAAACACTAATATTTTCATTATTATTTTGTTTACAATAGTTGTTTACAACAAAAATATGCAAAAATGTTGTATATTAGTAATGTTCTATTATATATTTACAAGTGTACAGGAACCTGACGTGTTCCTTGAGGTGGATGACAAAGCACTTTGTCTGGGAAACTGCTGAGTCAGTAGCTAGCTTGTGTCACCACTCACTCAGTCTTGGCTTGTGTCTCATGCCACCAACACCTATTGACCATATGGTACACGGTATCGTATGTTACAGGGTACCATATGGTACATTGTACTATATGGTATAGGGTACCATGCAGTACAGGATAACATATGGTGCAGGGTACCATATGGTACAGGGTACCATATGGTACAGGGTACCATATGATACAGGGTACCATACAGTACAGGACACCATATGGTACAGATACAGGGGTAACTATTGAAATAAGTGACCCTGACTTTTTTGGGTTATCCTAAGATTTTATACGTATGCTGCTATGTATGATAATCTACGTAATTGTATTTCTGTACACCTGAATAAACTTACTCAAGTGCATGTGGCATCATAAGTAAGTTTATTTAGTTATACACAAATAAAGTTACATAGAATATCATACTTAGCAGCATATGTTTGGAGAACTAGGATAACCCAAAAAAGTCAGACAGACTTATTTCCATTAGGGTCCCTGTACCTGTACCATATCGTATAATGTACCATATGGTACATGTACTATATGGTACATTGTACCATATGGTACATTGTACCATATGGTACCATTGTACCATATGGCACAATGGTACCATATGGTTCAAAACCATAGAATTCATCTTCAGCTCCACTTCCATCAGTCTTAGAACTGTAAGTTGTGAAGAGGAGAGTCAGAATTCGCCCCGAGAGTGAGTGGGGAGTGAGAGCTTCCTTGCCGCCAGGCACTATGAACAAAGCTACTTTGCCGGCGTTCCCACAATGCCATGCGGGCATCCAGATTTTTTCTATGGTGTGCACACTGACCACCCAGACCCAGTCTCTCAGATGTAGGCCTACCAGCCTTCTTGTGCTAAATTTGGCGCCGCTAGAATTTTGGCATAGATCTACGGTTTGGACCCTGAATGTAAAGCCGTAGATCTACGGGACTCGACCCTGAAAGGGTTAAATCTGGTCTAACATATGTGACAGATTCAAATAAATTCAAATAAGTAGTACCTAATGGAATGCCATACGTATACCCTTCAAGGAAGCACAGTGGGCTGTATGGGCGAGGACAGAACCCTGACTGTAAAAGCTAACAAGAATCCCTGCAGAGACATGAGGACATACAGGTGTCACAGTTCATATGAATCATTACTACTATACCTGTAATTGGTCGTAAGACAAGTGGTAGAGTGACTATGTAATGTTCTGGTTGCTCTCTCTGTGAGGTACTTCCAGTTAAAATCCATAATTCTGGAAAGCCAGCGAGACGGAAGAGCTGTCAAAACGTATCACACAAGGAACAGGCATGCACCATGGAGAGACCTTATGGGTGTGTTCTCATTAAGAAGATCTGAAACTGTCTGTGCATCCTACCATGTGAAAGACTTGAGGAAAGAAGGCCAAGACTAATGAAGGCCTGCTAGCCTTTGCCCTCAGGTGTTCCATCAACTTAGACTAAGAAAGAAGACCCAGTTCTTGGAGCAGAACTGTGACCCAGATGGGCTATTACCATAGCCTTGAAAATGGAAGCCTGGATCAGGAACTGTATCTCATAAATGTTACAGTAAGCTTGTATTTCAGGAACTATGTCTACAGTCCCTTGTTGCAGAAGTATAATCCTGAACAATACACAAACAGAGCTTGGAAGCTGGTGACTAAAAACTTTGCCACTGGTAAGAGCTGAAATGAGAATAGCAAAAACTTATGATTGTTCAGAGCTAGATAACATAAGGACATAAGAATGAAGGAACACTGCAGTAGGCTTACTGGGCCTTTCTAGGCAGGTCCAGCTCACATCCAACCACACCCCTCATATACCCATCCAATGTATGTTTAAAGCTATCCTAAGCTCTCACCCTAGAGATGCTACTTGGGAGTTTGTTCTACTCATCTACAACTCTTTTGCTAAACCAGTACTTCCCTATTCCCCTTCCAAATCTAAATTTGTCCAACTTGACTCACAGCCTTATTTTATAATGCCACTACAATTGTGTATCCAGTCACCCACAGGCACATAGTGTCACCAACAAGACGTGTGATACTTACCCATCCAGTCCCCAGGCAAAGTATATGTATATCTCCAATATCCAGTCTTTCAATGGCAGGGCTAGCACAAAGAAAAATGCCTGTGTAATCAGAAAATGACAGCTGGCTTAGAGGTTTTCAAACTGGTGACACAGCTGGTCATAAACTAATGAACTAATTCTCCCTTACTTCTACTCTGTGTTTTGATAAATGAGACACTTGTGCATCATTATTGTATCTTTATTCTGGAAATGTGTCACCAGTCAGTAGCTTCTTCAGTCCAGTGCAAAACATTTCCAGAATAAAGATACCCAAATGTTGCATAAGTGTCTCATTCATATACTTGTCTGTTTTCTAAATCATTTATTCGAATATTGTATGTTCTCTTACAGAAATGTTACAGTAATTTGATAAAAAAAAGTATGATCAAAAGTAGTGAGGATACAGTAATGAAAAATACGGCACCAAGGCAAGGTAACTCAAAAAAAAAATACAAGTAATGAAATAATGTAGAGTATTGTGATTTACTTCCTCCTTACAGGTGGTGGAGACCCTGGAGAATAAGAATGGTGTCAACGGTCATTCAGGAAGTGGCATCAATATCTGGGACACCAGCGGTGGTCTCCCATGGAATGGAGGTAAAGCTTCTCTACTGTCATGGTAATAGAAGTCTTATTCTCTATTCTTCTAGGTAAATGATTGCACTTATTTTAAACAAGTAGAATACAGTATATACAGTTGGCTATTCTGTTTCCAATGTTTGTCTTTCCTGAATAATAATCTATTTTGGTTAACTTTTTTTTATTGATTATCTCTGTGTATAATTTAGATGCTGGCATTGGTGATATTCTTCTGTTGATTTTCCTTTTTTAAATAATTCACGTGCTTAGAGCATTTGATTGACAACTGTCACTTGATATGGGGTGGCATTTTGTTGTGGCATCTGTTTTATTTTAAGCAACAGACATGAGAATGTGGCTTTCTAGCGCTAGGACGAAACACTTATTCTAGCTTTACATAGCTTTTTTTTCTTTGCAGCATTAATCTCTGTGATGATGGTAGCCCATACGAGTAATATAAATTCATAACATCTTTTTATATATCTTTAATTTTTATAAAATGCAAACTGGGAGACAATAATTTGTAAACTTCATTTCTTTGGTGGATAAGTAATAATAATAATAATGGATGTAGTAAGTAGTAGTAGTAGTAATAATAATAATAATAATAATAATAATAATAATAATAATAATAATAATAATAATAATAATAATAAAATTATTTTAAAAATAGCATACATATAAATTTTACTCTTTTTTCTGGAAAACCCATAGAATGTATAGCATTTTTGTTGAATAAGTGATTGTGGGGATAATTTTGGATTAAGCATCTTTTTACAGTGTATCTGTATTTTAGAGACCAGACAGAACTAGGAGAATATTGTAATATTTTACTTTTATTTTAATCTAGATTTCAAATGCAATATTTGTAAATTATAGTGAATTTTGTAGATATTTCAACATCATTTTTTTTTCATATAGTTTTTAAAAGAGAAAATTTTAACAGCATGCTTATTGACATCATTAATAATAAATTTCTACTGACAAAAAGATTAAGTATTTCCACAAATGTTTACAAAAATGAGATCTCCAGTAAATCAAATATCAGAATTTCTGATTTTTCATTTTTTTTTTAATGAAAATAGATATGTTATAGTACACATGCAACACGTATGTCATTTTATTTAGGAAAGTTTTTGCCCACTAGGGGCAATCTACAGCAGTCATCTACAGCTTACTGAATATAGCTTAAATAGTAAGGAGAGGTCAGAAGCAGAAAAGTGGTCAGGTCTGTTGAAGGGGAGAGAGGTCAGGTCAAGTGGCAGGAGTGTCTGGTGCACAGGCAGGGTCATGAAGTATGGCAAGAATCATAGGTAGTTGAATACTTACATAATGTAGTCACACTCATCTTCAAGGATCTATGAGCTGGAAATCTTGTGTTCTGTCTTGAAGAAACTAATGATTTTGCTTCTCTTCATCCTGGTGTGAATGGAAGCATATGCAGTCATTCTTGTTAATTGATTTTCTGTATATAGTATCTGTCATCTGCTATATTTAACCTTTTCACTCTAGCATCACATGAAATTAAAAGTACTGAGAATGTTGTGATGTTAAAAGAAATAGTAGAGATTATTTTTCTGAAGTTAGTGACACCAAAAGTGATTAATTTGATGGAAAAACTTAAGAAATCACACAGACACTGCAATTTACATATTGATAATTTTGCTCACTTTGAGTCCTATCTTAAACAACTTTCATTGCTCAGTTCAGCTCATTTCCTAGCTATTTTGCTAGCATGCCTTCCATTCTATCAAATAAGAACTACCCTATAAAGTGAACAGAAATTGGTAATTTGGCCAGTTTTACAGAAAATTCAACAATTTCCAATTTAAAAACAGGAGTCCAAAATAAACACTGTAGGAATTCTAGCCAACAAAATAAGATTTCCTCTGTTCAGTAATCACATCTCAAGGCCTCTCCTGTATAACACTTTCCCTCCATTTTGAATCTATTACAGTAGACCCCGGGTTTTCGTAATTAATCTATTCCAGAAAGTTGGCCAAAAACCGAAGTAATATTTCCCATAAGAAATAATGTAAATCCAATTGTAATCTGTTTCAGACACCCAAAAATATTAACAAAAAATACATTTTATATAGAATAACTATAATTTTACATAAAGAAAACAGTGAGAAATACATATAAACTAAACATTACATACCTTTATTGAAGACTTTTGTTAAGATTAAGATTAAGATGTTTATTTTAACAAATTACATGGTTGTACAGAGGAATGTAATAGTTGGGTGTACATGCCAAAAGCCCTTTTGTATGCAGAGCATTTTGGGCAAACTTAAAGGTTAACTTAAGATTAGTAAGGTAATAATACATTCAATTCAAAGTTTATTCTCTATAAGGATTACAATGCTGAGTTTACAGAATTTGGTTATTGTGTGGTTTACATGTAGTAAAATAATGATTACAGAGTGTACCACTAGAACACCTAGCATGGCTAGGCATTTCGGGCAGACTTAGTTTAATTCTTAATTTTAAAATATTACAAATTATGAGGTAAGTTGGTATTATGGCTAAGTGACTAAATACTAGTTTGTGAGTTTAGCAATGTGAATGCTTTTGTTTTGGCACAGTACATAGTTTCAGTATTGGAGTATCACAGGATTCATTATATTAAGATTAAGATTAATATTTCTGTTTATGGTCAAATGGGTGAGTGAGTGTAAGTGTGAACTACCAGGTGGTATTCGTGTTGTTAGTTGACGGGGTGTATCAGGGAGATAAGATGTTTTCTTATGGTAGTTTTGAAGGTGATGAATGTGTGTGCAGTTCTAGAGTTCTCAGGTAGGGTGTTCCAGATTTTAGGGCCTTTGACATACATTGAATTTTTGTAAAGGTTTAGTCGGACACGGGGAATGTCGTAGAGATGTTTGTGTCTGGTGTTATGCCTATGGGTTCTGTCAACTATCAAGAAAGCGTTTTAGGTCAAGGTTGATATTGGAGTTTAAGGTCCTGTAGATGTAGATTGCACAGTAGTAAGCGTGGATGTACTGAACAGGGAGTAAGTTTAGATCTATGAAGAGTGGGGGGGTGTGTTGCCTGGGATGGGATTTGGTGATTATTCTTACTGCAGCTTTTTGTTGGGTTATTATTGGCTTTAGGTGTGTTGCTGCAGTTGATCCCCAAGCACAAATAGCATAGGTGAGGTATGGATGAATAAGTGAGTGGTATAGTGTGAGAAGGGCATTTTGCGGCACGTAGTATCGTATCTTGGAGAGGATCCCAACCGTTTTGGATACTTTTTTTGGTTATGTGTTGGATATGGGTGCTGAAATTCAGGTTGTTGTCAAGGTATAGGCCTAGGAATTTGCCCTCATTTTGTCTGGTAATTAGAGTGTTGTCGATCTTAATGTTAATTTGTGCATCTCCTGCTCTGCTACCAAACATAATATAGTAGGTTTTGTCAGTGTTAAGCGTAAGTTTATTGGCTGTCATCCAAGTCGATATTTTGATCAGCTCCTCGTTAACAATGGTGTTGAGGGTGGCAAGATTAGGGTGAGAGATGACATAAGTCATGTCGTCAGCAAAGAGAATGGGTTTCAGGTGTTGGGATACGTTTGGAAGATCATTGATGTATATGAGGAAGAGCAGGGGACCAAGGACACTTCCCTGCGGAACTCCAGTATCAAATGGCCGTGTTGTTGATGCTGTGTCTTTTATGGTGACATACTGATACCTATTAGTAAGGTAAGATTTGAAATAAGCAAGCACATGGCCTCTTATACCATAATGGTCAAGTTTGTGGAGTAGGATGTCGTGGTCTACTGTGTCAAAAGCTTTTCTTAGGTCAATAAAAATTCCTAGTGGATATTCCTTATTTTCCAATGCTGTCTAAAGCAGATCTAGCATTTTTAGGATTGCATCATTAGTGCTTTTATTTTTCCTATATCCAAATTAGCAGGGGTTGAGTATGTTTTGTGCCGTTATAAATGAATATAGTCTCCTGTGCACGAGTTTCTCAAAGATTTTGGATAGCAATGGTAAGTTAGATATTGGCCTATAGTTGTTTAAGTCTGTAGGGTCACCACCTTTATGTATTGGTGTAACCCTTGCCATCTTGAGTAGTTTCGGAAAGGTGCTAGTTTCTAGTGACTTGTTAAAAAGTAATGAAATAGCATGCGAAAGGACATGGGCCGCTCGCTTGTACAGTAATGGTGGGACATGAGACAGATTCCCTGAGTTTTTTTTAAAGTGACTTTATAATCTCAGTGACTTCCGTGGGCTCAGTTGGTGCAAGATAGAAGGAATTTGGGAAATTCCCATCTAGGTAGTCCCCAGCATGGGCATTGGCATGTGGGATTTTATTGGCGAGATTAGATCCTATGGTTGAGAAGAAGTCGTTTATCTTGTTAGCTGTGTCAGTGGGATGTAGTGGTGTTTCATTAGGTTTAGTTAGGACAATATTCTTGGTTTTTTCAGTTTGTGGGTCCCTAGAATCTGAGAGAGTGTTTTCCAGGTCTTTTTTATATCTCCTCTAGTGTCTGTGAATCTACTGGAGTAGTATAGTTGTTTGGCTTTCTTTATTACTTTGGTGAGAACTGATGAATAGTGTTTAAGAATATCTTTGTGTATTAAGCCCTGTCTATATTGCTTTTCATATTGGTGTTTCTTGTCAATGGATTTCAGAATGGTGCTGGTTAGCCATAGGCAACCAAGCCGTTTGTTTGTGATCTGTTTCGTTTTTATAACGCAATGTTTGTTGTATAGTCTAAGTAATTTGTTAAGAAAAATGTCTGTCCAGTCATCAATACCATTGGCCTCGGAGAATTCTGTAGACCAGTCAACAGTCTCTAGGTCAGCTGTGAACTTCCTTATTGAGGCCTCATCATGGAGTCTAAATGAGACTGTTGTATTCAAGTGGTGGTTTACTAATGTTTGTCAGAAGGAAGGTAGGGTAGTGGTCTGTAGTGCTATCTGTGATTATCCCTGATTTAAGGGGGGCTAGTATATTTGTCCATATGTGGTCTATTATGGTTGCACTTGTCTCAGTGAACCTGGTTGGT